CCAAATGATACACGGCTTAAAAACAAATTAATCGATTGATTACGTGGAAGAATAAGACGTTAAGAAACTTTATGGCGGCATCTAGAGCCTTTACAACCGTTTTAAGCGTTCGATAACTAATGATGTACATTTTCAAATATCTATTTTCAAGCAGTATTCTAAGATAAAGAGGGAATTTTGTAAGGTAACGATTTTTAAAGGAGAATTACGTATTTCAAAATGTTCTTTATTCTTTAGTACAACTAAAAGTTTGTAAGAAAATTTGAAACTTGTTCGTATTAAAGAAATTTAACTGTTTTTTTTTCTCGAAATAGATCAACATCACAATGTATAACTTAAAGAAATATATTATTTTGTAACGACTTTGCACCTATTAATAGTTTCGAAACGAACGTAAAAATTAAATATTATACAATTCGATATTATTGCTTGACTTGACTTGATTGCCAAAACCAAGGACAAATAGGTACTTGAGAAAACTTGAAAAACATACGAAAAACACGATTAATATATATTAGATTTCTTTATGGATATATTTAGGAAATATAAATTTAGGAGCCGCAGTGATATTGTAATAATTTACTATTTTAGTATCTAAAGAGGTATTAAGATGTTTGTCTATAAAATAATGCATATATAGGCTTCCTTACCATTTGATCGGAGGACCTCGATAAATTATTCGTTTGGATTTAATATATATTGAATTTATGAATTTGTACCGGAATGAACATAATGACTCGATATATTAACATAAATACAGGATAAATTCCAGTAAATGTGCATATTCTGACATTACACAAATTAAAAAACAAATAAACTGGAATTGGTGAAAAAGTTTTCGACTTCTAACCCAAATTTTAACTGACTTCAGAAAAAGATGCAGTTTCTCAATTCAACTGTATATTTTTTAGTTACGCGATAATTCCATTTCGGCATTTGTGAATCGATTTTGATGATACTTTTTTGTTGGAAAGAGGGTTCATCAGTGGATCACCACTGATGAACCATTTACATTTGAAGATAATATTTCGCCTTTAAGACTGGCAAACTAAGTGACGAATCCGGTTTCGCGCACTTTCCGGTAACCGATTTTAATAAAACTTGCCCAAAAAGTAGATGTAATTCAACGAACCTTTGAAGCCCGTTTGTTTAGTACTCTGTACCGATTCCGATAAAATGACAATTTTCTACGTATCAATTTATGCACATTTACTAGCAAAGTTACCCCTAATATATCTGTCACTTTAAATGTTCTATGATAATACATCTACGTAGATGACTCTGTATTTGACTATTAAACAATGACTTTATAAATTTGTGACGTTTTCACTAAATACACCAACTGCAATGACATTTCACTTATTTATTTGTACATGGTCACCATCAGATGATCTGGTTCTTTTTTATTTTTAATATTTTTCTAAATATACCAACAACAGCTCGTTAATTTCATTTCTCAATACATTATTGGATACATACATTTATAATTAAATGTATATATAAACTTTTTAAATATAATTCTATATTAGAACGAGCAAACTTCGATAAAATTAAAATTGATTAACATATGAAATGTCATCCCAGTTGGGTATGTTTAAAATAATTAGGGATCTTTGATATTGTTGAAATTATGTACTATCGATTCACGGCTACACTAGAAACATAGTATAATAAGAGAAGTATGGTAACTCCATACAAACGTAGCAGCGCGACTTGTATGTGTGCACGCACGCCGGGTAGGGACGCACACACGCATTCACGTTGCATAGCGTGTCGTCTCACGCGCCATTCATTATAGAATCTGTCGCTCGGTATTCAAAAAATGCCATCAAATAGTAGACGTTCTCATTGTTGTTATTGTAGTAATTTGAACAAGTGTGACTCAAGAATTGTTCAGCATTTAATTTCTATTTCATAATCATACTCCACAATCAAGATACCAATCCTGCTGGTATAAAAAACATTAATACGTTATTACCTACTGAATTTAACAAAGGTTATTTCATTATAGCACAAGAAACTGTGATGGACACCTAAATTTTTTTCAAATTATGTTTACAACCTGTAGGTACAACTAAAATGATAACGTAACAACCCTACGCTCTGAGCGAAGTGTAGGCATGGTGCGCCGAACAGGCGGGAGTTGTCCTACTTACTCTTATTATACTATGATAGAATATGGAATATATCTCAATAAACACTTCTTTCTTTAAGCATGTAAAGGGCATATTTACAATACTACACCGTGTTACTGATAATTGTTTTGTTTTATATATAATATTTCTTGGCCCTAAGAATAGATTTAAGCTGAGGTTACCTAGGTTAAAAATATTTAAGAGATGTTACAACCACTCATGGCGACTGGCAACTATAATCCTAGAAAATACATTTAACACTTGGTTGATTGCTTTATTTACTTGAACTGAACGGTCATCGATACAAAAAACCTTTTATAAGACTTCAGCAATTACTTCGTAAAGAGAACTTCGTAATTATTAACTAGAACGGATAACTCGCAAATTTAAGTCGAATTTTTTAACCGGCTTTAAAGGACTGTTTTTTTTTTATATGAATGTTACGCGATAACTCCGGTACTTGTGAACCGATTTTCATGATTCTGAGGAAAGAGGGTACCTCCATAGTAGTCCTATTTCTTTTTAAAGAAAATCATCCACCTCTGAGGGTGGCTGTTACGCATGAACATTCATTTTTATAAATAGCGACTAAATTTTACTTAAGGAGCAATTATTTTAATGGTTGGTTTTGCTATTCTCCAATTCAAGGCGTTTTTCTCTCTCAATATACTTTGAGTAGTGAGAACCGACTTTTATTATCTCGAACTAGGGGATATTTCAATAAAACTTGGCAAGTAGATGTAATTTCACGTAATTTTGAGGTAGGTTTTTTTAGTACTCTTTACTGAGATTATTGTTGGATGTTTTCGTCGAGCCACCGCAAGGCCCTCAACCCCTGTTTGAGTCTAGTTCCGTTCTGCGTCCGACACTCGTCCGAAACAACTACTGTCAAATAAGTAATACTCGAACAAATCGAAAGGCATTGTCAAGTATGAAGCTTCATTCCTTGTTTGACAGAAATTGTTGCGGAAGGATGTTGAACTTAGAACGCGAGTAGAGAAGTCTGTAAAAATTCGTGAGTGGCTTTATGGGTTCTGTGTTACCATAATAATAATAACTAAGTCGTTTTTAAGCTTGCTATTATATAAGTTAAAAGTAATTAATTAAGACTTGTTGTCTACACTGTCGCATTATGTACAATTAGATAAAATTCGATTTAAATACGTAAGATATCCGTTACTTTAGTTGATATGTCTAAGTGTCGCGGTAGTTTTCTGTTTAAAATTCGTGAATTTGCATTTTATTTCCATGTGTAATAACCATTAAATGTGGTGTATAAGTAAGTAAGCCCAACATCCATTTGCAATATATATAAAAAGTGGATAGATGTAGAAATAGAAAGCGTCAGCTTCATGTCTTTAAAATTCGAACTTAGGAATAGTTAACCAGTCCACCACCCACTCAAACCGTGTCAATGATGATGATGTGCAGTGATGCGGATGATCGCGTGATGGTGAACGTAAGGCGGATGATGACATGATGTCTGTGGCATGAGAAAACAGATGATGGAATATTATTCACATTGTTTGTTATAACTTTGTATCAACTTTACATTATTCTGTTGAGTAACATATAGGTTTGTCGAAGTTGCTTATTAGGAATAAGGCCACTTATTGTGCGTCTCAATTGATAAAACATGATGACGTAAATGACGTATTGTGTTGCTAAAGTAGTGTCAATTTCAGTTCTGAATCTTGAAAATTACAGTCAATTTCTTTATAGGAGAACCGTGCTCAGTTAAGGAACTTACAGGGAATTGGTCCTATGCTATATGTTACCGAAAAGTTTTGGTAAATGTTCTCTTAAACTTAAGAGTACATTTTTCTCTTCACTTTGATTTTGTTCACTCTTCGTGCTAGGAGTAGTAAATGTTAACATTTATTTGTGCTGTTTTCTTATGCCACATTGTTCATAACTACCTACGTTAGATAATTATTTGCATTTGAAAACTACAAAGAGGTTTCTTCAAGAATCATTTCTTTTTCATTTAAATTTCTTGTCAAACTTGAAAGGAGTACTTTTAAAAGAGACTCCATTCCAGAAATATAAAAGAAAATAAGTTGATAATTCAAAAAGAAACCTTCACTTTTTTTAATATTTAATGGCAGTTTCAAATTTTAGAAGGACAATGCAAAATTCGCTATATAAAAGTCAAGTCTTGATTAGAAATTATTGCCTAACATTTAGCGAACTATTCGCCAGTATCACGTTTATTATAGTCAACACGCAATTAATTAATTGGCCACACTAAGTGAGTGCGGGCGAGGAGAGTGTAATTTCTCCACAGTACAGTTCGGGTCATAATTATCCAATTGTTAAGTGTTCAATATTTTATGAGACCTTGTCCCCATCAATTTATGATGTAATTCTCAATGAAATTGCAACTTCATTGGAAATACACCTTGAATTTGTTGAAATAGAAATGATTTTTATCAACTATTCACATATTTATTAAAAACCAAACGCTCACATAATTTAAACGTCGACTGTATTTACCTCTCCCCGTTTACCGGTCGCTGACTTAGCGCACAGCCAATGCATTGTGTGCTGACTACAATTGAATATTCAAATCTATTTTTTTTTTCCTTACGACCGCGTCAAAATCCGCACCACGAATTTTAAATAACTAACACTCACTAATAACTAAGTTATTTATCACTTGTAATCACTTTTGCGAGTAATAAATATCAAATGTATAAAAAACCTTATCTAAATTTTTAACTTTAAACAGTTACTGAGTAAAATGTGCACATCACTTATACCGCTTATAATGCCGTAGAGCTAGTCACTTATAAATAAAAAAGACATCCATGTTAAATATAAGAAAATACCTTAACCTATACTATAGAAAGCCAATTTGGTGACATCAACAGAATAAAACAAAAAACAAACAAACAAACACGTTTTCCGTTATAAATAAAAACTATTATCCGCGATAAGATGATTAATTTTAAAATAATAACTTTAGTTTCAAAAATGCACTAAGATTCCCCTTTTGATATGGCACAATCCAAAATACAGTTTTCAATTATTACTTTCATATCCACTCGTCCAATCGCGGAAATATTTAATAATCATACGAACAAAAGTAAATTAACAAAAGGCGATAAGAAGTAAATCTACAGTAATCGTAAAATACAGACAAGCTAATCATATTATTGGTGACACAGCAATAACTTACACTAAAAATCCTCTACCAATTATTATTCTTTAAGTTATGTGAAAGTAAGTAAAATGAATGATGTTAACGATAACTTATCATGGCATCTCTATGGGATCTCTACACGAATAAAGTGCCATTTGGTGGGAGGAAATAAAAATAATAATAAACCTACGAAAATATTGTATAACACTTAAGTTAGGTTTAAAATTTTGCTAAAATAAAACATAACTAATAAACTAAATTGAACTAAACAACACACCACTCACCCCTATCAGATAGGGGAACAGTATCACTGAAATAGAAGGTAGGTAATCAATAATTTAAAACTCACCTTTGAGCTCCTTTAAAAGGAGAAATTCCCAATTTCAGATTCAACCGAAAAAAACAAAATGCAATTTCTGGCGTCACGCTATCGCTTATTATTATTTCCGATAAAAATCAACATCTAATCAACAAAGTGCAGAATAAAATTAAAATAAAATCAATAGTACGATCTAAACCCACACATAAAATTATTTTCAATAATACCAACTTAATTTAACAGAAATTATTACTAGCGTCTCAGCGGAGACACACTTCGAGAGTTCATAGAGCACTGTGAGTCTGATAGACGCCGGGTGATTATGCGATTTGGTTCAGATAGTCAATGAAATCATTGGAGAAGAGCTGCAGGTGCGAGGGTTCGGTGTACAGTGTCCGACGCGGCATACCGACACCGCAGCCGCCAAGCGGGAGCCTTTCTGGCTGCTTGAGTCGCAGTGCGGCGAGGTATCGGTCGGCCAGCGACTCGCCCAAACTCATGGCTAGCGTCTCTGGGCTCAGCCCTAGCAAGGAGAGGGATTCTGTGATGCTAGCGATGGTTGGCGAGAGTATCTTCGGAGTGGTTTCTTCTGTGGGTGATTCGGGCACGCGTGCCATACTCGTGTTGACGACAGGGCGCAGTGCGGGCGCTGCCAGTGGCGCAGGGGGCGAGGCGCGGCGAGAGGGAGACGGCGCCAGACTCCAGTCAGAAGGGGGGGTGCCGGGGGAGGGCCCCGGCACCGCCGACTGTTATGGCCACTGCTGGAAGAGCGGGAAGGCCCGTTTCGTAAAGCAGTAAGAAAGAGGCTTTACAAAGTGCGTGTCGAGCACGCGGCAGTGCGGGCACGTGACCGGATGCGAGTAGTCCGAGTAGTTGAGCCGTTGCTGCGGGTGCAGAAGGGGCTTGAAACAGTTGTTGCACTGTAGAACAAACAAAATAATGATGTGAGAATGACTGATCATTTCTTATTTAGATTTTCTTAGTTGTCCTGAGACAACTAAGAAAATCTGATTATACAAAAATAATAAGGTTTCTAAAAACTAAATCAGACTTTATAAAACTGCTCTTCAACCTATACACGGCCTACAGTTGGGATCATCTATACTATAAGGAAAAGAAAGATTATTATAATGTTACACCTTGGCCCAGTGTTACGGACATTTCTCTGTAAAGTTTTGTAAAACTACGACCATGCAAGTTTTCTCACGATGCATTTCTTAACCGATAAGGAAAGCGATAATTTTTAATCTAATCTACATGCAGGGCTTGTCCAGTAAACGCTGATAACAATATTAAGTGTTAACGTTCAAACGTAAAGTTTTATGGATAAATAATATTAAGACAAGGCTTCATTAACTGTATGAAACCACGATAACAAGTAGCTATTCCATTTTCTATTTTCTTGACTAAGGAAGTATGCTTAATAATACAAATGCCTTACTTATATACGAGTAGCCTTACAACACGAGTCTCCTGCACCTGTGCTAGAAGAGTTCTACACGGACTGAGAATTTGGTTTTAATAATATAATCCTACCTTCACTCTTTCAGCACAGCAAGGCGTGGCCATGAAGATGTCATAAGAGTACATGGTGCCGAGCACGAGTGACGATCCGTCCCACTTCTGACCGCAGAATCGGCAGCGTATTGTACGCTCCGGATCATATCGCTCTAGACAGCCCATGCACACGCACGTCATGTACTGAGTGCGGCCCTCTACTTTCACCTGAGGACAATAAAGAATAATATGCATTACAATAGGTATGTAAGGTATCAGTAACGTGTGATAGATAATAAACAATTATATGCAAAGCTAGTTATTGACGGTAAATAGAGTTAAAGATTTTTACAATATAGCAACATATTACAACTCAAGGGAGTTGTCACCCGAAAGCATTGGTCTATTGGTCAATAGAATAAACTTTTTTGCAACAAAGCAGCAAGTGTTATTTCAGTAACTTAAGACGAACCATGGAGACGAAGTAACACAATGGAACTACTAACACCGTTATATGTACTAAAGAAACGAACCATTTGACGACAACAAGCTATAATACAGAAGAGGAAAGTTCAAAGACTCAAAGTATTAGCTTCAATACTAATTCTAACCCAAACACAGTATCCGAGATAATTCGCTAAATAAACACGGTTCCCATCGCACGAGACGTTTTCTGACTTAAATAAATGAGACTGTATTTGAGTTTGTAGGCAGACATTTGCTTTGTAACTTGATGTTTCAAAATGACAATTAACAAAGTTTTCTTCCATCCAAATGATTGACTTGGTAAGTTAAATAATAATTTCATTACAAGTCAAATTCGATAAGGAAGCAATTTAATTAAAATGTGAAATTTTAATTTTTGGTGGCTTTTAAACGCTACAAGAGATATTATCCTAGAAAAAGGATGATTAATGGGAGATCCTTGGTATGATATTAAGCAAAATAAACGTAAACAACAGTTTACAACTTTGGTTGAAATAAACATTATTCTTAAGCACACAAAGAACCCTAATTGCGCAAAGCATGATCAAACGTAAAATTTTACGACGTACCTAACCCATAAATACGAGTATGAAGAAAGAAGGCAATGGAAAGTTAACGATAAGGAAATAATAAAATATTTAAGAGTATGTCACCGATGTTTTTTTGGAGCGTTTACTGTCATATCGCCTAAATGATATAAATAATACTTGTAGTGCACAAGTATTAGTGTAAGGGCGTGAGGGACAACACTAGGTTAAGAAAAAAAAATACATGACAGTTCACAAGATGTCACCGAGTGTTTAATTTTTCCTTACATGGCGCTGCGGACAGGATTACTTGAATGCTGAATTGCGATACGCAGTACAATAAGAGTTTTAATAATGTATACTTTACTTTCTAGTTATATTCAACAGTATAGTTAAGTCACTTTTTTTAAAACCATGTAGTGTCAAGCATAGTTAAAGAAACATTTAAAAATAATTAAATATAGTATTAGTAGTAGTATATATGTAAAAAACTACTTCAGTGTAAAGAGGAATCTTAAAATAAACAATAAGCGTCTCGAAATTGTTACAAATACCTAAAGATCTTTATTTTGAACAGAGTAACTTTTAAAATATGTAAGGTTTATATTATAAAATATGTTAAAATTTAAATTTGGTTGTTATGGCATGTAAGGGGTAAGTGCGTAAGAGGCGTAAGGGACAACACTAAGTTAAGAAAAAAAAAATACATAACAGTTCACAATATGTCACCGAGTGTTTCATTTTTCCTTACTTATTATATAATAATATATATTTTTTTAATAACGCACACACTCAACATAGCAATTTTAAAATTGGAATTCAACTGTATACCGTTTACGTTAAGAATGGTCCAAAGTGTCAAGCGTGCACTTCTGCACTTCATTGTACTTATGCTCATGTAAGTACAAATGAAGCACTTACTTCTTTTAATAATAATGACAATAATAATAATAATAATGCCTTGGGAAAGGAAAGAGTTTAAAATAGATAATAATAATAATATGTGCCAGACAACCACACCAATTGTCTGGTCTCAAACTAGGGAATTCCTTGCACTATGAGCACCAGAACAACGGATTTCTAGGGCATTTCCCAGAACACTCACACCAGAACCTGGGAATCGAACCCGTCCCGTCTCCGCATCCAGCGCCCACAAAGTAAACCGTTAGGCCACTGAAGTCATCATAGAGCTGAATTTTGTATTGATAGGCTAAATATAAAAGGAAACAATATTATAAAAAAAAAACAGAAATGCGGGTTACCTCAACAGCACTGCTGGTGTGTTGTCGTGGACTAAGGAAGAAGGTCCCATCCACGAGAGGATAACGGTCGAATACGTGAAGGGTTTCTTTGCAGAGCGCACAAGAGACCTTCGGCTTGTGCTGACCAGCTAGTGTTGAGAGAATGAAGAGCCGCGTGTCGTCGTTGCCGTGGTTGCCTTCATCTTCAATCTGAAACAAGGATATTTCTTAATTAATGATAACGAATAGGAATAAAAAAGAAAGTAAGTATTTATGAGCCAAAAACCAATAGTAGAGTTAACAAAGGTCAAATAAGAACACACTTTATGTATAATAAACTGAGATTTCATGTTCGAAAATACGGTTTACATTAGCCATAACAACAATTTTCACTAAGAGAAAACAAAGGTCGACCAGAGCACGTTATTGTAAAACAACGCCCGCAATTTCAATATTTCATATCCCAACATTTACATTTTACGATTAATGCATCCACCCACGACACTTACCGCAGCAACTCTCCCTTCGTAATAACGCAAGTAAATGACTGCATAAAGTTGAATAATGAAAGGCTGAAAGGCAATTATGCTGAATTCGGAGTCGAAGTCAAACAAAGACCCACGAGCGAGATCGATTGTGAGCACAATTCGTTCACGTACGAGCAATTTGTGCGAGCGAATTATAATGAAAGTTTAACGAATCACTGTACCGAAGTACGCAACCACACTGTTTAATTAAGCATATTCCGAACTGTCAAAGCGTACGAGATTTGCAATTTCTACGCGCTCTTTTGTTATGTTTGATTGGAAACGACTGTCTATTGTTAAACCAAAGAATTGAATTTAATTACTGCTGTGCTAATATACAGCTTATTAACTTCTAATAAGGTACGTACATACTACGCATAAATTCATAAGGAATCATGCATTCCAATGTGCATAATATTGAAGCTACATTCCTATTATTCTATTATTAGAATGACGTGACACCAGGAACATATAAAACGTACAACTGAGGACGTTGACCTGCCGCAAACAAACTGTATGATTTGCAGTATAGTTCGGTGCAGTTTGCCAAGAGATGAGGCGGGGGAGGGCCGGGCCATCCGGCAGGCAAACACTGCGATATCTTGCTTCCTAACTCCCAACGAGACACGTAGACTATTCCCAGCATCAATGTGAATTTGTTATTTAGTTCGCACCGCATAACATATGGAGTCGAGTGAGTAATCACGTTGTACATAACAGTCATTGCAGTTATCAAAATCCTGTTGTCATTTTGGAGAATGATAAATAACAGTCGTGAACCGTCTGGCTTGAAACTGGTGTGATTGATTTATTCCGACCAACAGCTGCTAACTCTACATTGCCGAGGTGTTTTATGATTGATAACACTGAAACGTTTTGCTAAACGCTGTGAAAAACATGACTCCGAGCTCGGGGACGGAGCTAATGAAATGTCTATGAATTGCTGAGTTAATTAAAACAGCGCTAGTCGTCGCCTTAGGACTAATGAGCGACAATTAAATTGTTAAGTGTCGCGTTCACGACAGTTTAGTAAGGTTGCAGGTCGCGGGCAACGAACCCGAAGCGCTGCAAACTTGCACAATTTACTTTTGTACTGTAAGATTGATGAGCACTCCGACGCAGACTATTTATTTACTCAATCCGATCACGCTTTGTCTCGCAATCGTCGCCTTTAACTGTTGTCTACGAGTCCACGGGGCCGTAAACCAGCACATAAAACTTTCTGACGAGTTTAGGTAAGCACCAACGCCATTACATCGTCAAATACGTAACCGCAGATGTATGAATAGAGCAGAAAAGCCATTTAGTCTGCAGTAGAGTCTGTTAACGCGAGCGGACTGAGCTATTTAGCTCAAGTAGACGATCGTAGCTTCCTTTAATTACGTTGGGCTGAATTTACATAGTACGAACAAACTTGGCAGCCAGCAAAATCCACTGTGAATGGTGTTGAAACGTTTCAACCACCGAGCCCCTGAACGAGACTTGTAAAGTTTAATCAAAGGAGTTAAACACAAAAACAAACAATGCAGGAATGATGCGTAAAGTTGGTGTTGATTTTCGTGCACATTTAATCGCAGTTCTGTTCATTTGTTTCGATATACAAAACAAAAGCAAGGAAGTTCGATTCGACGAGGAGACAAGAGGAATTAAGTGCGCTCGAGCCGACCGTATTTGGCACGCTGCTCGTCGTAGGAACACACATTAAAGTAAGTTTGCAAATTGAAGGTTTAATTATTAATTAAACAGCTACATGGGGTGCTTCCTTAAATAATGTAGTGATTTTATTGCATCCAAACCAGAATTCAGAAAAACACAAAAGCAACCTGCTACTACGCTATCTTTACCGTGACAATTGAAATTCAAGCTAAATTCAATATTATTGTGTACATTGTGTTTATCTTCTCTAAAACGTAGTCCTCGTCAACAGTCAAAAGCAGGCATGCTGGATCTTTTGTTTGTGTTTTCGCTTAATAAATAGAGAAGTTGTTCACGTTACATTGTCAACGTTCTCCATTGTTGTTAGAATCTATGTACAGAAATGTTCTCAAACGAGCTAAATTTGAAGACAGACCTAAAGGTTGTATAACGGCAATAAATCTGGATTGTTCCCAGCGGTGGCTTATTTTTAATTAGCCAAATGAAACTTTTCCCATTATACTCCTTCGTCGTCAAGTCAGCTACAGATAAAAATTAAGTACAAAGGAAAATAGAGGCGAGAGCCGAAGACGAAGCAAAAATGAGAAACCTCGCTGCAATCCAATTAGCCGCAACAAGATATCCAATACCACGGATCTGATATCGGTTAAATACGTTATTGAATTTTTAAGATGGGGTTGTCCAAGAAGAGTAAAATCGACTGACAATTTATTGGTTGCAAAAGCCAGACTATTAGAGACTGCGCCAGCATGAGTAGCAACTTTTCAGCAGAGCCATCACAAACAATAAGTGGATGGTATTTGCCGTGTACTTGACAAAATCCCAAGAGGACGTCCGACTGCATTCAAGAATGCGCTCAATGCGAACAGAATGGAGACACTTTTGTCATTTTTATGAATGGAAAAATGTAATAAAAATAATAAAGTGCAATTTTGTATAAAGTGGTACAACATCACACCACATTACCGTTAAAATCCTTTTATTACTTTATACAGTGTCAATTAAATGTATTGAAGCTTGTTACTCAGACATGTGGTGTCTGTTTGTCTCTTCTTTTCACAATTGAAAGATCCGCTTCGGAATTAATAACAAGCAAGGCGAGCCTACCTCCCATTAAATAAGTTTCCATCCCCACAATATCTGCAGTGCTCGATACATTTATCCTGATGGCTGCGTTCTGCCTCATGTTTGCCATTGTCTGAGAGCTCACGTTAATATTTCGCTCTTTGTATCAAAATGTATTGTGCGGTAATGCAATTGAAATGTTTCTGTACCTGTTCAAGTGTTTTGAGGATAAAATAAATTTGACTCGGCGAGAGGTAATGAAACTCTTGCAGGTAATTAAGTCTCAAGAAAATATGATATACCTCTACAACCATTCGCAAAAATAAGATATATTTTATTTTACCACAAAATAAACAAAACAAAATATCAGATGACGAAACTAATAAAATGATGAAGTTAGTTTTTAACAAACGTCGTCGAGATGAAAAAGAGAAATAATGAAACAAAGATAATCTCGGTCCCACAGATTACTTTCTACAAAATTACTACTTTATATCACAACTTGTTACTAAGCGTCAGTCAAAGGAGTTCTATGCGAATCCCTACCATATTTATTCCTTTGCCGATACGAGCTCGGGGAATTCGTGAAGCGAGTAATTTGTTAATTCTCGCAAAGAGAGCTCAAAGAGAAATCAGGGTAGTGCGAATATTCCGCATACCTTCTGGATTCAGTAAGATTTGCTAAATTTGGCAAAGTTTGTTTCGAATATCTGACATACGGACAGATTGTACGAACAAAGGCAGCGCTTTTGTTCTTGTCATAACCGTCGGTGTTTTTGATAGTAACTGCTGTTGCATGCCTTTTCTGCCTTCTATAGGTATCAATATGACGTGATTACTATATTGACGTTACGTCTGTGAAAACGCCTATTACATCCTGAAATACTTTCCGAAATCACGAATTGAAATTGCTTCCATATCGTCACTTCCTTTATTTCCTCCACCTTATAATACCTCGTCAAAAATTTCATATGCAAAGGTGTCTCAAAAATTTCTTTAGCACCGCGCATAGTATTCGCTTGCGTGAATTAGTATCAAACATTCCATATTGCGCTGAAATTCTCGTGAGGTGCGCATACCGCGTTTTTGCGAAGATATTTCCATATTGAAAGTGTTATTTGACACGTCGGCATTTTAACGCTACCCTGCTTGTGAGTCGGCAGATATTCGTTATGTAATTGTATGTAATAAGATTAAATAGCAAGAATCAATCCTGTATTAAAGTTCAGGTATAGACCTGATTGTATAACATTTAAGCTGTACAAACTAAATAATAGGAAATGAACATTTTTAGAGTCAGCCGTGACCATGGGACCTGTAAAGTTACCGAAATCTTGATTTGTTTGAAAAAATAAATATACGCGATAGAGATCCGAAAAAATAGTTTCATTTTCTATGTGTAACAATCCCGAAAACCGAAGAACTCGATAAACTAAACAATTATAAGTAATTATTAATTTGCATTTATGCACTTCTAAAGGCAGATAGATATGTCAAGTAACTATAGATGTGATAGGAATACTAGTGAAAAAGTTGTATAAACCTTAGCTTAGTATAAATTTTACAGCTTTAATTATATGACGTCAACTTATCTAAAATTTCAGGTAAAATACCTGATAAAGCTGTCGTATATGGCGAAGTTGAGTCGTTATTATTTTATTGCCACTGAGTCTGAGAGAATATGAGGTGACGATGAAAGGGCACCTCGTCACAGCAGGTATAATGCGAAATTCAAATTCAAATGGCTACGTTAAAAACTTGGGTGAAGTGTTCATTGAACGTAATGAGATGGTTCTGTCGATAGTACATTATGTGTGGTTAAAAACTGTCGGTGTTATTCTTAGACCTTGTATCGAATATAATATATTCAATCTTCAGTAATTTGTGATATGTCGGCTTTGTTTCGGATGTGTTTCTACATCATAATATACTAATCGGCGAATTATGATGGTGAAGTTATTT